GAAGTGGTTTGCATGATATTCTGGTTCATAAATGCAATTCTAGATAAAATGAAATGTAGAAAATGTATACACTTCTAACAATATTTGCATAGTACAGAATGTACACATTTACTGTATAATATTTTATATTAACCAGCTCTTTATTTGAAATAAAGAGATATTTTATTTGTCCAGGCAAGACAATAACTATGTGAGCTGTATTTTTACCCAAATGTATTACGTTTTCACTGTTTTCACAAACCCTGAACAGCCACATACCTAGAAATACAACATACACAATAGAAAGTCCAATATTTGTGATCATTTGGGTCTGTCAAACCATTGGTATAAGTTCTATTTTAATTAAGGAAACTTGCTTAGGTTGATTTTGTTCTATAGAGAAGATTACATTGCAATACCAAACAGAATGTCAATGATAAAGCATTAAGCAACACAATAACCGCCTTCAAGCAGTAGGGCTATTCTCTGAGCTGTCCTACCAGTGGTGGAATAACATACTGTACCTGTCAGAACTGGAGACGCACTCTCCATTTTCCAGAAGAACATGAAAACTTTTTTTTAGGATATACTGTACCTAACACCAGAAGGCTGTGTCAAATTAACCCTTCCTGACTGCTTGATACTTAACTGCCCTTATGATACAACTTCCCTAAGTTGCAAACAGCACTGAAACTCCTTAGGCCCATGTCACACATAAGTCACTTTGGTTAAAAGCGCCTGGCAAACAAATACATGTAAAAGCGTTTCTTGACATCTTTATGAAGTGAGGAAGTGATAATTACAACTTTTACCTGCTTCAACATCTCCCAGTCATAGTCTTCCTTCCCCACCACTGTCTCCATCAGTTCCTGTGGCTGAAAGATCTTCACCATGTCCATTTTACAGACTTGGTAAAAACCCCTCTTGAACTCTTCAAAAAGATTCTTTACAGATTTGTTGAACACATAGTCCACATAGGCACTGACAAATTGTTCCCTGAAAAAAAGAAAGAGATGGATCATCTTTCTGAACAGTGATCTGTTTTTACAATCAACCAATGTAAAAACGAAAAGTTCTTTGACTGCATTAATTCTACTCCATTCTATAACACCCCATTCGATATATAAAAAATATATCAAGTTTTTTACTTTTAAAGAAGATCTTCGGATTTCTTTGTATGAACAACAATAAAATAAGATACAAGTCATAAATTATTTATTAAAAACAATAATCAAAAAACAATAAAAATAGTATAGTATTGCTATATTACAACAACTATATATATATTTACCTACATACTGTTTTGACTAGAATAGAATATTTTAGAAAACATTTGTTTCAACTGAAAAGTTCTGATTTACTTATCTACTGTATATCAGAATTTTAATGGTGATGAATGAGACACTGTATTAATGGTCACGTTATTGCAGATGCTGCCACATTGGTGATTGTGGATTACAGAACACTACTGTTACAATGAAGTTTATCAGAAGCTATTACGATTGGAAATATTTTACTACAAAACAATATTGGTTATATTAACTATATTGTATTTATTATAACTATAACTATAATTTAATTATTAGATAGTTTTAATAAATAAAATCTAGTACATATTTAAGCTTCAGCAGAAAAGTTAGTGAGACACGTTACACAGATTTTTACTTTTGTTTTTAGGAATGGGGCATTGTACCATCTTCATTCCTTTTTTAAATATTAGGAATTAAAGACCTTTTAATTTTTTTAATTTATATATACAGTAGGCATCCTCTACATTACATTACATACATACATACTTGTTGGTATTAGTCACAGGTATGTCTTCTCCATCAGGATGCAAATTTACAACCATGCCATCCCAAGACACCTGTGTATTTAGAACAAATAGTGAAACAAGTGTTTTGTTGTGGTTTGTTTGTGGAATACATGTTTTAACTCTTTTCTCACTTTCCGTACCAGAACAGAATGACCCAGAATGACCAACCTTTCTGCAACACAGTGAGGCAGCAAACAGTTACTCTAAACCACTTACTGGGGTTCCACACAAATCCAAGGTGTATTTTTAAAATGTATTCTTTTAATCTTCCTTCTTTATTTTAGCATCCAATAAGCAATTTATTGTGAGAGGTAATGTTTCCCTCAGATTGCAATGATCGGTAAATTTCTCTGCTCCTTTTTTTTCTATCCGTCTAGCTTTCTTCACAACAGTTATAGCCATTTTATTGGATAGGCACATAGAAAAGTGGCAATGAAACCTATTGATTTGAAGATGCTGGTTTACCCGTGCACTATCTAACCATTAAACTCCCAGCTTCTCTCACTCTCACCTCACCTCTCACCTATGACCTGAACCTCACAGTGCCTTCTTTCTTACCAAAACTCACACATTAAAATCTACCTTACATTTCAAAAATCTCACTCCCCATAATTTCTATCCTTTTATTTCATTCTGTTGATGCATGTTTTTGCACATCTGATGTTGTTTTTGCACATTACCTGTTACCTTTTTGTTGTTTTGCACATTGCCTGCTGTTGTTTTGCACATTTGTCTCTGTCTTTCTTTTATTATATAATTGTATTTTTGTTTTTTTTTGTACTACGTATCGTCTGAGAGCTAGCTAAATAGCATTTAGTTATACCATATACCTGTATATGAGTATAATGACAATAAACTTGAACTTGAAGTTGAAAAGTATGTTAGATCTTGTCTTTTACTTATAAACATAACAAAAATCTATTTTTAATTGGCACAAATGTAATTGTAGTCAGGGAGTGGACTGCATCACAACTCATGTTTTATATTTGCAGTAGTGGAGACATGGGAACTCTCCTGAACTCTCACATCATAATTCTGTCTTACGATAAAATGTGCTTGAAATTGATTATACTTTTTAAGCAGATCCACTAGAACAACTTGGAAACTGTATGTTACATTTTTCTACATATTAATATGGTATAAAATGTCCAAATGTTATCAAAGTAAAACACAGAATAACAAAGCCATATATTTTGTAATAAGAAACTGAATTACTTTGCCGGTTTATAATTCAAATACAACTCTTCACCCTTCAAATGAGGTACTAAATGTAAAGTAAAAGATATCCAACATTCTTCATTCATTAAGAATTTGATTAGGTCTCTAACATCTTTCAGTTTCCTGTTGGTCTGTTGACATCATGGAGGAGAGAAAACAAGACGGGCAGGACTGTGCTCTGCACGGCTTTATACAGAGTATGCAGATAAACAAATCCCATGCAGTTGAGCATCAAGCTCATATTATACCTGGCTACATTTAGGTGAACGGTTAAGTTAAATATAAAAAGACAAACTACTGTATATCTGAGGAATGACATACTGCACATACATTGAATGACAGGCACAGGTTTTCTTCTATGTCATCATCACTGTAATCCAGAACGTTTTGTAGACTCCTAAGGACAAAATAATAAGAAAACGTCCCACATTAGACAACACAGGACAGGAAGAAGAAAATAAATATGGCTCTTTGATGTCACCCTTAAAATAAGTGTGCAGTTTGGATGTGGATCACTAACTCTAAGATTCTTGACTTGGCTTTGATAATAAATATAAATACATACTGGATAACTGCAAAGACTGTCATGCCCTCTACATCTAGAGATCGCTCCTGCTCTGTCCTGTTCCTAGTTTCCCTGTGCTTTACTTGTTCTCCCGGTGTGTCTTGTTATCTAGGGCTTTATATTTCCAGCCATCCCTATCCTCCTCGCTCGGCATTGGGATCAGTTGTCGAGAGGTTCGCCTCACCAGGTTGCACCACGTCTTCTACCTGAGGGCTAAAGTCTCGTTTCGACTCCGCCCGATACCTTCAGCCCAGATCAAACCCCTTTGTTTGCTCTGTTCCTGCTGCTACGCATAGGGTCCGCCCGTCTCGCTGGTCTCTCTCCACGGCCAGCCCCCGGCTTCCGTGACAATCACTGAACCGTGTTTGGATGATTTTTTTAATCAAGCTGAATAATTATTTTCCAACTTGTCAGTGGGTACCACTGCTGGGGTTGCTGAACCCAAGTGTTTGGTTGTGTGGACAGGTTTTCATTTTCATGAACTAGAAGCAACATTTACTGTATATGCTCTTTGCCAACTTTTTACCTTTTACCTACTGTATACAACTTTAACCTTTCCTTATTTCTCACTTTACACTTTATCTAAGCTACTGTAGCAGGATTGTTTTACTGCAGTCATTTTTTTATTTCACTATCATTTTTTAACAAGGAAAACTATGTTGATTGACACATTATATATAGTATAAGATCCTGATGACAATCTTAATGTATTCCTGCATTGTCTGTGATACTATTGAATGAAATGGATTGTCAGTAGCCATATACATCTACTGTTAATAGTGGTTCAGGTGGGTAGCTGTGTCTACTGTTAATATACATACTTGTGCATAAAAATATAAGAAACGTTACAAACAGGCAGAGACTGTTCAGCACATCTACAGTAGCTCTCTGAGCTAAAGGAGGCCTAATGTTAAACATTATTAATGTTAACTGAAAAGAAGTCAACAGAGAGCGACACACCAGGCTCTGGTCCCAAATTATTTAAGATCAATAGTTCCGTATTCACGGTTCTGTCGAAAAAAAACTTACAATACATTTAGTTTAAGAAGTCCACAGGACAAACTATTATACAAACTCTGCATCAATTTGGCACCTAAGGACTGGGGTAAAGGAGTTACAACGTCATGTACGCATGAATTATTTGAAGCAGCACCTTGAAAAATCTGGAGTCCTTTAAGTTTGGGATTACGCAAATCAAGAAAAAAAAAGTTGGAGAAAAAGACACTGATGTTTGTGGATGAGCAAAATATAGGTTAAAATAAAAGTTGTAATAAGACCTTTAGAAGCACTGCTTGGTGCTAATCATCGGCCAGATGGAAAGGAGTGGTAGGTTGGTGGGTAATTGAAAAAAAAAGTGTAGTAAAGGTAAAATCGTTATTTTAAGAATACTTTACATTATGGGTCACCACAGTTCAATTCAAGTTATTTAACTTGTTTGTAAAATAGAGCCCTTATCTCATCATTACTTACTTTCCCACCCTGGGCTCCAGCTCCTTCAGGTCCTCCAGAGTTGGCTTCACATCAACCAGCTTTTTGAACAAAGCCAGAGGGAATGGGAGGTGCACAGTGTTGTAGTTGTTCATCGCAAGTCCACACAGAATCCCAAACAGATAATATTTCTTCTTCTCCACTGAGGTCTAGAAGAGATACAGAAATCTGCTAGAACTGAAAACTGTGCCATGTACTGAGGTCTATTGATGAGTTCAGACAAGCATTGCACTTCAAATATATTATTAAAATCTAAGAACATGAAAATGTTTTAGGACTAAAGAATACAATATTTAAGAAAAATGTTCCCTATTGTTTATTTTTTAATTTTTCTTTTCAGATAAACGGCTGCTAAAATTTCTATTGCACAGTTCAAGAATTGTATTTGAAAACTGAGTGAAATTAAAACTGTTAAGAAAATTCGTTCTTTTGCAGAAACGTTCTCAATTTTGTTATTTCAAGTGGAACCATTATTATAAATGGAGTCAAACTTGGATGGTTCTTGTCAAATTAACCCTAAGATGGCCTGAAACGCATGGTTACTTAAATACCATTTTAACAGCGATTTTCAACTGATTGAAAGATTGCCCAAAAAGATACATAGTTGAAACAGGTAATTTTACAATAGTTTCAATTGTTTTAGGCTCATATTTTGTGGTGTCAGAAAACATTTTCAAATCAGATGAGTGGAGGGCTATGTGGTTTGCAACAGTAACTGTAAAGTACAAACATATGCTGAACAAGAACATTAATCACATTTTGGAAACATGAGTTTAATTTGTTTAAAAAATATAGAAATTCACCACGACTTGACCACCATGACCATGTGTAAGGAAAGCCTACAGTTAAATGTATTAGTTCTCATGCCATTTAGACGACAATTAATTACTGTAGTTTGAAACACAAAACAGCAGGTACTTTTTGATGCAAAAAAGCAACCTAGAAGGATGAATTGCTCGAGGGATTTCAGTTTTTCAGTCAGCTGCAGAACCTGACTAACTTACCTTGGAGGGAAACCACAGTAATGTTGACAATTCATTGTACCAGAACATGTTAGACTCGGGCTCTATCACTTTATCAAAAAAGTAGAGGAAGAAATCCTTTCTTAGGACTCCTGGGCGGTCTATCTCTCCAACAAACTCCACCTATGAAATATTCACATTAAAAATTAGTGGTCATGCACTATTGGTCAAAAACAATGAGCCCCAAAATAGCAAATAATACATAAACTTACAGTAATTGGTCGGGTGGGACAAATATCTTAAAACCTCTGTAATTTGTAGGCTTACAAATTTTAATTAAAATATGAATAATAATAGTGAGACAAATGACAGGAAAATGAGTAATAAATTAGATCTTAACTTGCAAAACCTTAAATACTGAATCACCAGTATGCAACTGTGAACTGTTTTCATAATTCTTCCGATAAAAAAAACAACAATTTGATAAAAAGAACATGAAGGTGAACGTCTTGATCAAGATAAAATGACAGACACCTAGTCAAACCTGAAGCTGAAAAGTAGACTGGAATCAAAAGATGATCTATGCTTGTGTACCTAAGATTTATATCAAAGTCCCATCTCATTTACAACTACACATTAGTATAGCCAATTTGTAAACAGAGTGTGTGTCCTTTGTAAATAACTCCAATATGTATTCAGCCTGTGATGCTGATACATACACCAAACTGCTGCTGGTTGGAGTTCCTTGTATGGCTAAAACGACGTTACCCTATAAAAAGTTAAAAATGTTAGAGATAACAGTTTAAACCTGGTTTATTGAAATTGCATACTAATCTGTGCAGCAAAAGGCATTTCCTTAATTTCCTTTAAAAAAAATTATTACATCTACAGAAAATGAATCCAGTTTTAGTACAATGTTACAAAAACTTAGTTACCTACAACAGCAGCAGTAATAAAATTACACAGTAAACCCATCAATATAATCCCGCATTTCTTACTGTAAGCAATTTTCTCAAGTCTTCGACTGCTACGTTGCTCAGGATATTGAAGGCATCTTCAATCAGATTACAGCGTCTGACTGCAAGGTTCAATGCTTGTGCTTCATTTGGGAAAATCACCCAATATGATAACTGAAATGACATTTAAATATTTTGAATACACAATACATTACAGGTAGAAAGGCTAGAAATAAGGTGAGGTCTTTTAAAGCAACATGCTTATTAACCATACCAAACCCATAATCCCAAATCCCAAAAACACAATGTAATAATGTTTTTGAATGTATTTTGCACATTTCATCATTTTTAACAAACTTATTTTCCTAGCATTTTTTACAAACCTAATTGAACTAAGACTGTTTTCACTTTACTGCATTTTAGCATTCTTATGATGACCATCAATTTTTTTTACGTTAATTTTGCTACCAATTTTTCCATTTCGTACTGCATTCAATTTTACTAAACAAATTTTAAAATTAATTAAATATGCAGCAAAACAGTCACCAAATATTCCAATAATTTGATTTAAAATATTTTTAATAATGTTTGTAACATGCCTTTATCAGAATAATGTAATTAATATATTTACAAAGAACCAAAAATAACTGAACAATGAGGTACTACAAAAGCATATTTTAACAAATGTGTTGAAATTTTTGAATACCCTTTATAGTCTGTCTATCTCAAGTTAGGAGAGAATTACCACCAGATTGCATATATTTAAATTATTCAGTCTTTCCTGTTATTAACGCTTTAGTTTATACCAAAATATTAAAATGATTAATTACTGCTTGTAAATATTTTCTGCTTGTAAACTATTTGATAATACCTGCTTGAAATCTTATATTGTAGAACAGGACAGATATGTCATTTATTTTTTTGTCTTTAGTGTCAAATAGTTGGCACATATCTTAAAAGTATGTTGTAAGATGTTATAAGACCTTTACAAATTAAGGTTTATGTCTTTCTGTAAATAACTTACCTTTTTTAAATGTGAGTTGGTATAAAACAGGTTCACCTTGACAGGCAAACTTAGGACAAAATGAAACTTGCAGAACAGATCTGTTAGCTGCTCTATCCTCGTTCTATCCTGCAATTCAATTATAATGAGCAGGTTATTCTGCTAAAACTGTAAAACAAATGCTGTAGAAAACACAGGAATAGTAATACCATTACTAGTACTAGATTTTAAATTTTAAAACTATTTTACAACAAAAAGCAATTGCATAGTGGGTTTACTTGAATAATTCAGAGCAATATACTGTACAGAGAAAAGTGTAATGTACCTTATGCATCATTTTGTAGTGCCTCTGTGCCTTTATCCACTGTGGCACTGGACATTAATTTTAAGGGAGAAGCCAGAGACACACAAAATACATTTTGTTCTCTTTTAGGTCTTTAGTCAAAATCCCAGCCAAACAATTTTGATCATTCTACAACACATAAAGGCCCTTTTCACCCAGCTCTGCGTCTGATAACAGTCACACATAGAAAATCAAGGTATTCAATATTTGCTTCATGACAGAGGTAATAATTGCAACAAAGCTGCAAGCTTTTTTTCCAAATAAGAATCAGTATTAGCATCAGCAATAATTTACTCATCAATCCATCCATTTTCTAATCCCTTTGTCTAATTCAGGGAGCTGTAGTCTATCCCAGCAAGCAGTGGGCACAAGTCAGAATACACCCTGGATGGGAAGCCAATCCATTGCAAGGTACAACCAGACACAAATACATACTGTACACACACTCACATCAGGGGCAATTTTCCCAGAAACCAATTAACCAGCTTGTCTTGGACTGGCTGTGTGAGGAAACCTGAGCATCCCATCATTATTGTAACTATTAACAAACTGAAGCCCTATGAAATTTATCAGAAACTTTTGTGCCAGATTAGGAATATATATTTTAATCACTGTACTTTTTAGTTAAAAGTAGTTATGTTGACAAAAACAGTTCATTGTTAATCTGTATATGTTTTTACTTATTTCAAAAAGGCATTACTTACCGCAACAGAAGGATAAAACTCACATTTATGCAGACTTTCATATGAGGGCAGAAATAGGAACATTTCGTTGAGGTAGAACATCTTTGCTGCAATGGATTTTTTAGCCTTTTTGTTTGACTGTCAGACAGACGTTTGGGGAATATTGTTAATGTTAACACATTCACAAGTTTTACCACTGGCACTTTGTCAGTACAGTAAACCTTTGGTTTAACAGACTTCAAATTTAATGGACAAAATCCACCCTATTAGTCATTTAAACTAAGAGTTTACTGTGATTCAGAGAAAAGAGATTCACGTAAATTGAGAAATCTCTGCCAACAGCTAAGGTGAAACAAGTGAAAGCATTGTTTTCCATATTTCTAAAATCAGAGAGTTAACTACTGTATGTTAGCTATGAGATCCTCTTTAAGCAAGTGTGTTCCATGTTTATTGTACATTTCTGCTAAAAAAGAACAATAAAATCTATGTACTGGGACTAGGACATACAATACAATACATAAATGTTCCATTTTAATTAATTGAAATCTGAACTATTAATACCAATTCAGTTTTTAAGAAAAAAGCTCTAGATTCTTAGTCACAAAAATCTCCTTAGAATATATATTCTAAAACTATAACATTACTTCAGTGATGACCATGTTCTAATTAAATAATTACATATATTATTTGGATACCTTGTACAATATTTGCAACATTTGCAGAAGGTTGTAAAGTCTGTCTTTTACTTGATGAAGTTGGCAATCATTTTGTTTCAGACATTCCTCAGTTTGGTGTTTATACAATCTCACAAGGCATTTGAGGGATTCTCTTGGTATGTCTGTCCATAAGGACTCTAAAAAAGAGAAATACTGATATTGTAGGTTGTACATTCATTTGTAATTACAATGATATACTGGCAGTGATAAGCACATAATCCACAACTTTTCTTTTTACTGTGTGGTGTTTAATTAGGAGAAGGCCCAACTGTTAGATCACACAGTGCTGTTTATAAATAGAATTGCAGCCTGTTATATACAGGATTTGTATTCTTAATATATTTAATATGGATTAAATTGTTTTGTGTACGATCCATCCATTTTCTAACCACTTCATTCAATAGAGGGTCTCAGGGGAGCTGAGGCCTATCTCAGCAAGCAACAGGCACAAGGCGGGATAAACCCTGGGTGGGAGACCAGTCCATCTTAAATCCTTCAATATGAAATATAAATACCCCAGATTTTATTAATGGATAGATCAGCTTTAAGTATGCCACAAAGAAAGTTTCTGTAATCAGCCATCTTGGAAGAGACGTGAACACTCAAAACCATACACTGAAATTCCAAAAACAGCCCACTGTCAGCTGCTACAAAATACCCAAGGTAATAATCAAATTCTGCATGTTTCCCAGAGGAATAAAATCCACATGACAAATAGCTGAAGATTATAATTACCAAGCACATCCAGACTGTCAGAGTTTAGGCGAAGAACAGCAACAGTAAGACTATCTGCGACTTTACTGTTCTGCTCTGTATCAAGATGTCTGAGGAGTTCTGGCACTATAACATAGACTCTAAAGGCCTCCACACCAGCAGGAGCTTCAGTGAGGGATGGCAGCAGCTTTTCACAGACCACAGCGACAACCTGCCATAGAAAATAAGTTGTTAATCATATCTGTGCTATCAAAGATATTCCTTTCTCCATTCTTCTATGGCATCTGATGATGATCATAATAACACTCTATTGCCTTAAACAGAATATTTGTATATACTACGGCATATTTCCAAAAGTATCATCTAGTTAGTTCTTGTAATTCGCACATTGCCTGCATCACTTTTTTCCCCATTAAAAACAAACCTCAGGACAGAAGCAAGGCAGGACACAACCTGGGCCATATACTCACACCAGGGACAATCTTCCCAAGAGCCAACTAATCTACCAGTATGCCTTTGGACTGTGGGAAGAAACCAGAGCACCCAGAGAAATCCCACATAAGCACAGGGAGAACATACAAACTCCACATAGATAGTTCTCCAGGTCCAGAACCGAACCCAATAACCCAGTTCTGTGAAGCACCAATGCTAACCACTGTGCCATCAGGCTACAGCAGTCAAGATAATGACATTGTTACTTGTATTTACATCTATGATTATACTAATGTCCAAGATGTAGAACTTGAGGACCAGGATAACTGTGCTATATGTAGCACTTTAGAAATGCTTAACTTATTGCCAATTGTAGTAGTTTTATACTTGTAGCTCTTATAAATTGACAATCTTCATTTGAAAAACATGATATTTGAAGAATTGTGACAAAATCACAATTCATCTCTTTACAGTTTCTGAAAAGACATGTAAATGTAAATCTGTAAATATACAGTTACTTTTTTAGGGCAGTAGGATTGCTTGATGTCAGTTAATAAAATATAATAAATCAACCAGAAACATAAACCATTTCCAAATAAATTAAGTTACTGACATTTTAAAGACAACAATCATCACTAGCATACAAACTATGACTGATCATACTTTTACATTATGTAATACAATAAGTCTGCCTCATTTACAAACCTTTTTGGTGAAGATATAGACATTTAAAAAAATGCTAACCCACAATTTAACCCACAAAATACCTGATTGATTATTTCACTGTTCTTTAATTTCTGGAAAACATGAAAGGTTTGCCGAAAATCAATTCCTGTCTTGGGGGTGTTGTGGCTGATTCTATAATGTTCATCTTTCCTGTTTACAAAAAGAAATCAACAATAAAGTTTTTTATAGAAACAACGGTACAAGGAAAGCAATTAGTAGTGAAATTGTACAAGAGGAAACAGCATAATCCTGAAAAAAGTTGTAGCAAAAAGTGTTTTGTTCACTTACCTATAACACAAAATATGATCATATTTTATAAGACCACGAAAAAAAACATTTTAAAGCAGAGAGCAGAATAAAATGCACATGTAAAGTGAATATTAAAGACTTTGGAAAAAATGCAGAAAATGTTTTGAAAAGTCATGGGTTTCTAATTATTCCAATTCCAATAAATGATGGAAAAAGAAAAGTCTCCAATGAGACATTGTACATTGTAAGTTGTCTCTTACCTCTGTTTAAGAAAGCTTCCATTAAGACACGAGGAAGATCCGAAAACAAAGTTAATTTTACTGTATAAAGAAAGAAAACATAAAATATCAACTAAACCATCAATTCTATGATACAGTACCAGGTGGCAGCATAAAATCAGGCTTTTTCCATATCACACAGTTAAGAAAAAGTAATCCTGAATAAACTTTTATAGGCCAGCTACATTTTAATGTAAAAAAGAAAAAAAGAACAATCAGGATGTTCTACAGTAATGGAAAAGGCTAATTTCACTAGTTTCCTCAAGATCTGGGTCACACTTTAATAAAAGTCTGCATTTTATCACTGTTTCACCTAGAACTTATAATCTATTCTGAAAGGAAATGTCTACAATGGAGTGGTGTGGTGGCTCTGTGGCTAAGGATCTGCACCTGTGGCTGGCAGGTTCTAGTTTGTATCCCGCGGCCGGCAGAGGAATCCTACTCCGTTGGGCCCCTGAGCAAGGCCCTTAACCCCAACTGTTCCAGGGGCACCGTATAAATGGCTGACCCTGCCCTCTGACCCCAAGCTTCTCTCCCTGTCTGTGTGTCTCATGGAGAGCAAGTTGGGGTAGGCAAAAAGACAAATTCCTAATACGAGAAATTGTATATGGCCCATAAACGCCAGCAGCCAGCAGCCATATCACCCTGCAACTCACAACTGGCAACCCACTGAAGCTAAGCAGGTGTGAGCCTGGTCAGTACCTGGATGGGAGACCTCCTGGGAAAAACTAAGGTTGCTGCTGGAAGAGGTGTTAGTGGGGCCAGCAGGGGGTGCTCACCCTGCGGTCCATGTGGGTCCTAATGCCCCAGTATAGTGACGGGGACACTATACTGTAAACAGGTGCCGTCCTTCGGATGAGACGTAAAACCGAGGTCCTGACTCTCTGTGGTCATTAAAAATCCCAGGGCGCTTCTCGAAAAGAGTAGGGGTGTAACCCCGGTGTCCTGGCCAAATTTCCAATTGGCCCTTACTAATCATGGCCTCCTAATAATCCCCCTCTATGAATTGGCTACATTACTCTGCTCTCCTCCCCACTGATAGCTGATGTGTGGTGAGCGTTCTGGCGCACAATGGCTGCCGTCGCATCATCCAGGTGGGGCTGCACATTGGTGGTGGTGGAGGGGGGTCACCATTACCTGTAAAGCGCTTTGAGTGGAGTGTCCAGAAAAGCGCTATATAAGTGTAAGCAATTATTATTATTATTAAACTGATCTTATCTAACAATAAATAGGTATTCCAGACAATCACTATATTACCTGTTGTGTTTAGAAAGTCATTTGGCTTTATCCCACTACACTGAAGGGAGAACAACTGCCTAAGTGAACATGCTGTCCAACCCACTCTAATAAGATGTACTATAGCAAGGGGCTGCTGCAATATTGGAGGAATGGTGGGATGGATGGAGATGCGCTGTGCAGAAATTCTAAGTACATAAGAACAGTTCTAATGACAAATTCTAAGTTACAAGGGCATTTGGCCCACTTAGCCCGTTTGATAGTCTGGTTTCTAGTTGATCCAAGAATCACATCCAGCCATTTCTGGAAGCCAGTGCATCGGCTTCAACAATATGGCTCAATTTTCCCACAGCCCTTTGCACAGAGAAGTTCTTCCTGTTCTAATTTTTAAACGCAAATGTTTCCATGGTTCTGGTTCTTGTTTCACTTTTGACTCCGAAAACATCCACTGGGCTTATGTTATCAATGCCTTCAAGCATGTTAAATACTTGGATCACATCCCCTCATAGTTTTTACTTTTATGTTAAAGGTAAAGTAATGAATCTTAGTTGATCTTCCCTAGAATGCACTTCTATGAACAAGGAGAGAAACTGGGCTTTCAGAAAGTCATGTGTGAGACTCAAACCCTGTCCTACTTCATGAAGCCATGATGAACAATCACCATGCCTTACAGCATGAGGCTACTGTGTAATCAGTCACAGGGGAGGAAAGCCTGAATCAAATCTATAGTGATGTGGTAATGTGATTAGTATAAAATTTAAAGAGTCTTCCTCCCAGACGTTTATTACTAGACCCATTTAAACTAACTTTTAATTATTAATAGAATGTCTCAAGAAAAAAATGGAAACTTACTTTATTTTCTTTGAGCGGGATTTAGAAATCAACTCCTCTACCTCTGTATTATTTAATGTAGCAATGTTCTGGCTCACAGGAGTGTTTCCTGATACCTTTGAAAAGAAATGAGAACCGTTACAACAGCAGATTGCGCTCGTACGTTAAGAGAAGTTTAGAATTATTTTCTTTCATATTGTACAACAAAAGAAAAATTATTTCCACTTGAATATTTATTTTTTAGGCAGTGTAAATTAAGATGATAAACTAACCCCCAAAAATGTAAAAATGTAGAGAATCATTTAAATAGATGAATATTCTTATGGATGTTACAATGGCCATAAAAGTCAACATTTGCACTTCTGCGGATTCATAGTAACCAGTAGAAACAAGGGATGGAACACAGGATAAAAGACAGGCACGCAGAAATAGACAGAGAGAAAAGGTACTGTAGGACGATCTTCAGGGAGAAGGAAGAGGTGACAGAGTAGAAGAAGCATGCCAGGCAATAGGACCTTCTTGGAATCAGACCTAAAGACCAAATTCTAGCTAAGAATTGGAACCTTGTTTAAGAGAGCCTGTTGTCTGTTATTTTAGGGATCTCAATTTTTCTTTATATAAAACTCCTTAAAGGTGCTCTCACTCAAACCTAAAAGTACAACAGTGACTAATAAATTAAAAATATCTAATATATTTGGTTATTTTTTTTAATTGTATAATGTCAGCATGCCCAAAGAGGTCGGGCAGCCAGTTGACCTTGGACCCCTAGAGGTTTTCGTCTCTCCTTACTAAGGAGTTTTTTGTTTCTCTCCTCCGTTGTCTTCTGGTCTGTTCTGTTCTGTTCTGTATTCACAACATGTATGATCACTTGCTTTGTTAAGAGCCTTGGGGCAACCTTGTTGTAAAAGGGGCTATATAGAAATACATTAAATTGAAAGAAAAAAAACTTTCTTCCTAATGTTAAATGTAGTCATATTTTTTCTTGCCTTTGGTGAAGAGCATAACACAAAGGATTGGTTTCCTCCAGCAAAAATTCTATCCACCTCAAGCTCAGTCCCATTTTCTATGAAAAATAAAACAACAATTAACCAGAGCAAAACCAAATCTCATATCTCATGAGCAAGCACAAACTGTTTGATTGGGAAACATATCCTGCAGGGTACTGCCTACTGATGAAACAAATCATAGTATGTGATAACTGGTGCATAAAGTTATACATACAGTATATAGATCATCACACAGATCTTGAATGCTGTGTCCCAAAAAGCATGTTGATATTTTTGATGTTCATGCCTCCCCCTTGTCTCTTGATTAGATCTTATTTTGATAATTTCAATGCACTAGTTTTTAAACCACAGGATAATGAAACAGGGCATTTTGTTATGACCATACATGTGAATCTGCCCCCATGAAATGATCCATGTGATACTATGCGTACAGTACGAATGACAATCCAGTTTAGAACGCATGCTTTGCAGATTAGGAATACCTGCGGCTGCTGTTGTGGCTGGAAGAGGAATTAGTTGCTTTTCTATGAAGCCCGTTCCTAACTGTCCTTGTGCTCCACACCCAAAAGAGTAGACCTTCTGACAAGAGGAAACATAAGCCATCGTGTGGTTCCTAAAAGGAAGGACAATATATGTGTACAGTATGTTTCCAAAACAACACAAAAAGCTTTAAATATGAATGCATATTGTATAATAAAAATAACTGGCCTTTTTCCCCATAAGATCAAATCAGAGATGGCCATGTCACACTACCTGCCACAGGCTATCTGAGACACCTTCTTCCCCCACAGCTCGGCCACCAGCCGAGGCCTCAGTTCATTCCTGAGCGAGTTGTGTCCGAGCTGCCCATAGCTTCCCGATCCAAATGTGAACACTAGGCCATCCTGGAAAATTACAACAGTTTTCAAGTGAACAAATCATTTTGCAGCAAGATAAATGCCACAAGATTTCCATCTTGGCTTTATTTCAAGGAGGATAATAAGTCCAAGGTGGCATTATGATGATAAACATCTGCATCTCCTACCATATATTGTAATTTAGTGAAAACCTGGTTTCACTAGGAGTTCCTTTTTTATTTAAAAAAAAAATGAATCATATTAAAGGCTTTGTTAGATCCCCACGTGCAGCTTTACACCATGTGAAGTGTAATATCTAACTAATCTGCATGAAGTTCAATAAATAACAACACCAACCTTAGTCAGGACTGCAGTATGTTCTTCCCCACAAGAAATGAACACCGTCTTCTTCAATTCCAGTGCCGTCACAGGTGTTGGAATACGTCTGTCTGTTTTGTTTTAACAATTATGGAAGGATACATTTTAAATACAGGTGAGGTTTTTTACTATCTAATGTTTGATATTCTCATGAAGAAGGTGGGAGAACAATATGTCCAACATTCAATCAACGTTCACTTGCATATGAGGAACTATACATAATAACACAGTTTCTAGGGAAGTACGTTATACAAGTGAATTCCAAAATGAATATGAATATAATAAATAAAGTGCCAAATGATTTTAATATTAAGAAGTGTTATTAATTAATATGGTTATTTTTAACATTGGATATTATGCTTCCCTTTTCCCCTTTGTTAAAAGCCTAGTGTGCTGTTTAATTGGACATCCTTTCTTCACCCTGCAATGTTCTTTGCACATACTGTAGTATTGCCCTGAATCTGACTGTGACAGTGAGTGATATTGCTGCCTTAGAACATTGTAAATAATTCAGCCAATGTGTTATGCAGAAAAGCAGAAGGTATGTAATAAAATATATTACATGATATACTTAATTGTTTGATTTAGTGACGATGCACAATTAATTAAAATAAAATAAAAATATTAAAAAATACATGAGACAAAAGTGGAAACATTTTATGTTCATTTCTGTTGTACCTTAAATTAAAAAAGGATATGTTAAAACTGCTGTGGAAAACAAATGGTGTAGGAGACTAGGAAACACCAAACTTGTTTCACAGTATATGGTAGAGATTTAGAAAAGGCTACTTTCACAGTGTAAAGAACTGTTACTGCATGTTTGTAGCCCCTTCAGGGTGCAGTTAAGGCGGGAACTGAGCAGCATCTTTATGTATATTAAGGAGGCAGTAACAAACAAGAGCATACTGTACATAGTGACAGATATGCTCTTCTTTGCAAGTGCATTATAATGTCCAAAAAAACTATTCCTTACTACAACAAAACATATCTCATTTCTCATAGCGCACCTCAGTGAAATATGTTTGACACACTGGAACTATACTGCTTAATACAGAGAATATTTTGTCTAAATTGGAGTAAAATGTTGTCACCTTGCGTATCCCCCAGGCCCAGCTGTCCCGCGCTGTTCCTCCCCCAGCCGAACACGGTCCCGAAGAGCGAGAGAGCGAAGCTGTGGTCTCCCCCTGCAGCGATCTGAGCAACGGGGATCCCCAACAGGGACTTGAGGTGCTGGATAGAGGGTCCTTTATCTTTGTATTGTGCGGTCTGTTTGGTTTCCCAGGAAAACACTTCTCCTCCTGCCAGCCATGTTCAGTGTAAGAAATTCAATATCATTATTAAATTAATGATTCTACTGTATATTCTGCATTCATAAGTTAAACGTTCTAAAACCAATGGAAGCTGAAATCGTTTTTTTAGGTGACATTACCTCTAGAAAGTGCCAGTGAATGGTGGTTTCCACATGCAATCTGGATTATCTGGTGTGTGTTGTATATATTCTTTAGTGGCCTGAGGTAAACAAATCAAATTATTGAAAAATACAGGTGTCCTTTCCTTAAAATTAACAGATGCTTTGTATAGTGCACACTGGAGTACAACAGGTACATTAGAGGGTAAAAATATACATTCCTTTAAAAAATCCTATATGATGTTAATGACAAACAAAAATGACAAAATGACAAAACAAATCCTATATGATGTCTTCTGGTCTTCTGTTCTGTATTGACAAAATGTATCATCAATTGCATTGTTAAGCGCCTTGGGGCAACCTTGTTGTGAAAGGCGCTATATAAAAATAAATTGAATTGAATTGACAAAACACACATGCTGCAGTGATGTAATGGCAAAACTGCCTCTTACCGAAACTGCTACTTACTGCAAGACACTCAGCTTGGGATTTTGGACATGATCTGCCTCCTACTTATTATAAAGATTTTTGTCTTTAATCTTTCCTTTTTTCATATTATGCATGTGTAAGTATAGGACTTGTTGTACAGGAATAATTATTTACACGTGTTGCTTCAACCAAGAATGGATAACCTACTCTTAGTACATTAATACATTTGCTAAAATCCATTAATTTAGTTTTTGTGACTAATAACTCCACTGCATAATATTCCTTTTCAACTTTTGCATATCTTTATTTTTTAATGTACAAATTGAAGTAGTAAATGTTTCTAGATTTTGAATGACTAGCCCAAACCCTCCTTTCTCTAGTAAAAAGAAAAAAACTTACTTTGCATTTATCACTTTAGAGGGTTCGTGACAATATGCCTCAAAAATGCCTCCTGAATCTGAAACTAGTACAACATGGGTCATTCCGCAGCTCACAGAGACAATATGCCTTTTCTCCTTCTGCTTCGGCAGTTCCACTTGCCCTGTACATACAAAGCACATGACTCATTCATACAGTAAACTGCATTAACCTTTGTTATTCTTTACATAGTAAACCCTTCTCTAATGCAGGCTTGCCCAACATAGATTTGATCATACATGAAACAAATCAATTGGAACAAATCTGGGAACAAGTCTACCTAAATCCATGGTAATGTGCGCTCTACAATCCTTGAGTAATCTTTCTAAAATTCCTGTCATCGTCTCACCTACCCTAGCAAACATCATTCTCTATCTCAGTCTCCTGACAGTTGTTAATGCAAAAGCTTCAAGGAATTTATGATTACCTTTTCTGACCTTCTACATACTAGGTTAATATCCTTCACTTTAACCATATCATTAGGGTAATATCCTTGAAAATAATTATTGTATCAAAGCTAGGCACCTGAAAATTGTAGTGTAGAGAAAAAAAAACCTCATAAGGTTACAGGATTAGTAGAAAAAGCAAATATCCAAGATACAGTAAGTTGTGTAGTGATATGAGTGTACAGTACAATCCCAAAGGGTGAAGAAAATATCTAAGAATTTCTGCTTCTTTAAATACTAAGCTATGTCATGTACTGTATCTAGGGGAAATCATTGAAAAAAAGGAATAACTGCTAAATGTTTGGAAATGTGAAGAAGTGAATTAGAAAGGCTTATGTGTGGATAGTGTTGGTGTGGGAGAAAGCCCATAGCTTATACAAAAACCTGGTTGCCGACACCACATGAGACTGCAAGTGATTTTCATGAAGGAAAAGCTAAATTGACAAACATCATGAAAAGATTTCATTTGTGTCATCTGAAGTTACAAGGTGAAGATTCTGCACAATTTAACCTTGGAATTTCTGGATTATATTAAGTATAAACTTTCCTCGACAAGTGTCAATGTGGATGAAATGTGATTATTTCTAAGAAATTAGGCAACAAGATGTACGTTTCAAAGGACCAGATGGCAGCCTCTGGGTTCAAAGCATTAAAGAAGAAGCTTACCCCACTTTTTTAAACTTAAGCTTTTGTCACTGTACTGTGCTGATAACCTGCACAAATTAAAATGCAAAAATTAATAACTGCTGGTTGCTTGGCAACCTAGTCAGCAGGCAGGGACTACAATTTTGTTGATAAATGACTGGTTGAACAATAGGTTTGTGTATAAGGCCAAAGAGTATTGAATGGGCAAGAAAGTTGAGTTCAAAATAATTTTAGATTTTAGTGTCCCCAATAACAACCAAGAAACATTGCAATTTAGGTAACCTACTATCAAGGCAATGTTTTTGCCACCTAACACCTAACAAGTCTGCAACCTATGGACCAAGGAGTTATAAAGACATGCAAATCATGTAATGTTACAGGCTTTAGACTGGTGCTGTTGAAAATGTAAAGGCATTTTGGAAACGATAACACATCAAGGACTGTGTCAATGTTATTAAAATGTCATGGGATGAGGTGAAATCATCTAGGACGAATGCATGCTGGCACAGGCATTGAGGCAATAATGGAACAAACAAATAAATAAATAAATGTTAAAAGACAACATTAGAAACTTCACAACTTACAGAACTTGAAACAAATATTGTTAAGACGAAAGCAAAGCAATGAAAAAATCACAAATCCAAATTTTAAACCTAAAACAGACACTTTAACTCCTGACAGTCTTCAGCCATCAAGATCCAGAGCCTCTCCAAAGGATCTTTAACCTTCATTTTCATCTGCTTCGATGAAGTTTGAGGCTAAACATCATGATAGTCCGGAGGACACCTGGGCCTTAAACTGGTCCTTAGCTTACAAGTGCATCATCATCATCAAAAATATGTCATAAATATTTACACTTTCATCACACACTATATATTTTTATTATATTTTCAGTTCTTACACAGTTCAGTATACAGTAGGTGCTGTTCATTTGTGTGTAACAGTATGTGTTATGGAGTGAGAAAAGTAGGTGTAGGGCAGAAGCTTGGGGTATTACAGTATGTTTACTCCAAGTATGAGTATAATGGCAAGTGGATTTGTTAGGGTTTGGTGTGTTTTATTTCTCTCACTGTCTGCTTTCACCCTTTGATCAAGGCCTTCAACAAGCCCTCCTAGCACTAACAATGATTGAATGTGAGATTGAAGAAGAACAATGATTGAAGAAGAGAACTCGGAGAGGAAGGCTTGGGCACTGCCTTCTCCCCCCTGCTCCCTGGAATCTCTTGTGGGGAGCAGGGAAGGGGCAGTATAAAGGAAGATATTGATTTTGGGGGGGAATTTTTGTTTTGAGTTACTGGGGACCGTGTGGTTGTGTGGGTGTCCCTTGTGGATAACATTTTTTCTTGTGTTCCGTTTATCGAGTCATAACCGATTGTAGTCGTTAGAGGTTTGAAAAATGCTATTATGCAGGAAACCGGTCTTGTACTTGTCTGAGGGTGCACTGGTGGTCGCTGGAGATACAGTACAATTAACCTGTTGAGGTAAGAAGTATTACCTTACTATTGATCTTGTCATACAGTAAGTGTGTTTAAAAACCTCACTTCAAATTTGCTATTTTTAATGCAATGTTTAAATCGCCTTGAATAAAAGAAGACATCAGTTAAACTCAATATTTCGTCATCTTTATTTACTGTACTATATGTGCACACGTGTCTGTTATCACGATTTACAGTACATTTGCTGTAGAAACGAAAGCAAAACTTTGCTAGACTTCTACGCAGAAAGAAAACTGAAACTTTTTGTACTTTTTGTACTTGATTTCTTACGTTATGAGCTAGAGGCTACTCTGTTGTTATATATTGTTACAGTGTACAGTATGTTATATGTTGGTTAATCCGTAGTACTGTACATGTACCGGAGAAAATAAGTAATCGTAAGTATTTTTGTGTTGTTGTGGTATATTGTCCAGACTAAACTACAATCTCTGAAAATTATGTAAATGAAAATATACCAGTTTTTCGTATATATGTACGTGAAAATACTGTACGACCGTATTGCAAATTACCATTACTTACGTATTAAATTATACTTACTCGATCTTCGTTTCTGTTGACGACCTTCTCCATCTCCATCCAGAAAAACAGAGATATTTCCACTTTCTTTAATAAATCCAAAAACACCATTTCCACATCCAATTTCAACAACTCGATTTCGTAGAAAAACCGGACTGGAATCGTTCCTCTCAGCATTGTCAATGCCTACCCTCCCTGTTAAACCCAGCTCCTGGCACGACGCAGATCCCCAGGAAAACATCACTGCTTCTGAAGCCTTCGATATCCACACTGGAGTCCCAGACTTTTGTGGAAATTTATAACCAAACCCAGTTTGTAAATAAAATCGACTGTTTACTAACATAAACACCACCGCTTGATTTTTGTCAGGCTACAAATAACACGAGTTCTCTAGCGCTGTCAAAGACATGATACAGTACGTGATATAAATGATTTTACTTTTAGACACGCCTCAGAGTTCATACCAGCATTGCAACATAATTGCATTTACAGTACTTGTTAAAGCAGAGATACAGGAGAAACGATACTTAACCCCTGACCTGAAAATGACGACGATAAAATAAATACATAAAAAAACACCAAAGACATAATGATAATGACAGTTTATTACACACAGTAGTACAATCAAGGCTCTACCTACAGTTGTTTTTTTTTTAAGGGGGGGTCCAGATCACGATTACGCACACAGTTATAACGTGAAACGTGAATCTGTTAACTTACAATCTGTTAAAAACACCTCAATGAAGTAGCGTTGTACAGTACAGTACGTACTTTGGAGAGCGATGTGCATTTACCACTTACAACTATATTACTTTAATTTATAACCATTACAATATGGTTGCAATGCAAGTAAAATGTCACTCTTTACGTTTCACTACATTATAGATGTAATAAACCTTAATAAAACTGATCATCATGTTTCTTTCCGAAATTAAATGAAGAGCATTCGGTGTAGCAGTAGCTAAAAACCGCACTGACATTGTCATCTTTTTAATTATCTACTGTATATCTGGCACTGAAGACCTTATAGTAGTTTTTCAGTTTTGTATTACATTTTAATTTTTTTATTTATTCAATACTTCTATTGCAAAATGTTTTGTAATGCATTTGTACAAGAATAACTGCACATCTTTCAGTCTCGCAGACGGTGATTGCACTTTTTGCTGTATTGCTATGGCCCTCCTTCCTGATGATAAAAACGTCTCAAAAATCTGACACTGAGGTGTGAGACCCAATGTAAAAGACTATGAAAACCATGCAGTTCACGAAAATTTACTGTTCCGTTTTTTAACTTTGATCCTCTGAACATGGCATGTGAGGATTTATAGTCAACAAAATAGCGCACCTTCTGCTGATTTGCTTTGTCCCTCCTTCCTCATTATAAAAACTTCTGAATAATACGACACTAAGGTAAGAGAGACAAAATCAGTCATCATGTATGAGTATTGAGAGCAGTATTGAGAGCATCCTGACTGGTTGCATCACTGCCTGGTATGGGAACTGCTCCGCCCGGGATCGCAAAGTACTGCAGAGGGTGGTGAGGTCAGCGCAGCGCATCACCAGCTGTGAGCTACCAAGCATCCAGGATATCTACTCAGCTGGATGTCTGAAGAAGGCCAGGTCCATTCCCAAGGACCCCAGTCATCCCAGTCACAAACTGTTTTCCCTCATACCGTCCGGAAAATGGTACCAAAGCATTCGGTCCAAGTCCAACAAACTGCGGAACACCTTCTACCTCCAGGCAATAAGACTGCTAAATAGTCAACTCGCAGCTCCTTCAGCAAATCACCTGTAATGGCTACATGGACACAGTTTTCACCGTATTCAGCTTAACTGCACTACATGTATATATTGCACACACCATGGACACATAGCAGCTCTACTCACATTGAGTTTTATTCAATTTCAAAAAATGTAACCTCAATTTTGTGATTTTTGTGCGTTAGTGAATTTTGTGATTTTTGTATTCTTGCGATTTTTGTGAACTCGCAGAAAAAGACATTTCATTGCCAGCAACTACTGCTGCACACCATACTGTTGTGCATTTGATAAATAAACTTTGATTTGATTTGATGTACATTTGTAATTATAACACTTCACTGTTGAATTTCTGAGTTGTGATATTCTGAACATGGCATGTTAAAGTATATAGAAAATCTAGATCAGGACAGGCTAATTCCAATTCCAAGTGATTTGTCATTGTCTTATTTTCTGAATGAAAAAAATGTCTTTTTTCAGTGATTATGACACTTTGGTATGACATTAAATATATTTCAATGGCAGAATAAATAATCATGAAAAAAATGCTCACAGTGGACATTAGAGGTTGTGATTATAAGAATGTTATATATCGGGTGGTTAGCTGCGTCAGCATGCGTAGGCTGCAAAGGAACAAGTAAAGGTTTATTCCATGCTGAAAAGAGAAGAAAGTAAATAAAATGTTGCAGCTGTGGAGCCTTCTTCAGGTGTAAGAAAGAAAGGGCAGTCAGCAAAGATAATATTTCGGCAAAAGCAGTTGAGGTCGACTTGGGTTTGGGGGATGTCCAGCTTCCTGGAGACTAGTACAAAACTGAGGCCTTTGCTGAGAAGAGATTGCTCATCCTGTGAAAGGGAAAGGTCAGAGGGTATAGTAACCACAAGGTTAGGATTGGTGGTGGTATGAGGTGACATTGTGTGTCACACCACAGTGTCAGAATTGTGAGACGTTTTTATAATCAAGAGGGAGGGCCATAGCAAATAAGCAGAAAGTGCAATCACTGTTTGCCAATGTCTTCTCACACGCCATGTTCAGAAGGTCATATTTAAAAAATGGTAGAGTGAAATTTCCTGTAGTTCAGGATTTTGACAGTCTGTTACATTGTCTCTCACAGCACGGTGTCAGAATTGTGAAACTATTTTATAATCGGGGGTTTGAGATTTTAAAAAATATATTCCATACAAAAATGCAATTTGGACAGTCACTATTTATTTGGATATTGCCTTTCACCGAGGAAGTCTACAGTATTCCATCCGGATTAGTACTGACCGAAGAGAGCCATCTACAGACGAAAGGCGACATAACATCACTGCAGCAGCATTTAAGGTGGAAGGAAAAACGCAGTTTTGGCTGAAGACATAAAGGACTTGGATCCTCATATTTTCAGTTGTGAAACAGGGCTTACATTATCAAATTATGTTAACTGTGGATGGGTAATGTGTGAAACGTATTTCACCTGTCAGATTGCCTGTTTTAATTTGTGAATAACGTCTGGTTCACTCCTGGTCTGAGGTTGAGGGCGAACAAAGTGTACGTCATTTCAAACTCTTTACAGTCCACTGTAAGAGGTTTATCTTTCAAGCACTTACTGGCTGTTTCCAGCAGGTAAAAAAATTCAGGGACACAATTTCCATTTCTGGAAATCAGGTAGAAGGGGTCAGGTTAGGATTTGTTCATTGTGTACAAAGTAAAACAAAAAAAGTTGTGTTTAAAATTGAAGGGGTTTTGAGTGTAGCTCCCACAAAACCCAAAATTACAACTCTTAGGAGATGCCTAAGAAATGGATTTTCAAGAGTAAACACTCAGCTGACTTGAGAACAGACTTGCAACAGGGAGGGGTGATTTTGTGCTTCTTACAGCAATTACAAAAGCCAGGCCCCTCACCAGGCAAGCATACATTACCAGGTATGAATCCTCCACGACCACTACAGGCCTGCTCATGGAATTGTATTTAAATCCTATATCAGTTAGATTAGCAGTTCTAACTGGGCCCACTTAGTGCAGTTCTACTAGGCCCACTTTTCAGCTCCCCTCCAGATTAATCAAAGCACAAATTTGTTTTCTTTGCGAACATTCTTTTTATGATGAATAATTACCAGCCAGGTCATTCTCAACTCACAGGATATCTATCACCTCTGAGACTCTTACCCAGCTATTGAATTTATTGTTCCACTTGTGCCACTTTACCAAAAGTTTTTTTTTATGTGTGTCACCTGGCTGCCAAATTGGTTTGTATGCAATAGAGATTTTAAATGTTCAGACTTATCTTCTGTAGCTGTTCTGCATAAAAGGAACTTGAATGTCTTCACCTGCGTAGTGTGATGGTTGAGTACGGTAGGATCCTGTGGCAGGATAAGGCAGTAGTGTAGCTAAGCTGGGTTCAGAGTCTGCAAAACTCTAACACAAACACTAGGTAAAAACAGCCAAAATAATGCCAGGGTTAAATCCAAGAGAAAAACACAACAGCCGAAGTCTGGAGCAAGCAACGGTCAAAACCTAAGTCAGCAAGAACAAGAGGAGCTAGACAAAAGCTGAGGCAGACACAAGCTTTGGGATGGAGGGGTGACTGTGGAGAGAGCTAGTTTAACTTCCAGATTTAATGATGATTGGCAACAGGTGTGGATGACCATCACTGAAGTGGAGTGGTAGTGAGAAATTACAGGAAACACCCGATGCCTCTTTGGGTATGACCACTTGCACTCACTACAAACGACACTCTCTTTTTTAAAAAATAAACTACAAACAGGGACAGCAAGGAAAGACGTTACGGGACTCACAACTAGAAGGAACTTCCAGACACATAACAGTACCCATGGTTAAAAAGAGGGTATGGCACCTGTCAAAGAGATTGATTAAAAGTGTATATCTTCATCACTCATGTCATTGGCAGTTATCTTCACATTACACCAATTCATAAGTACACACAAGTAAATGCTATTTTTGAAAACATGGTGATTTTATTCTTTTTACAATGTCAGAACTAACAATGAACAAACTTACATAGAATTTATGTTGTGCATTTTGAGATTACTAGTATTTGAACTATAATTATATTTAAAATGTTACGGTATATTTTTTCTAAAGCATAAAACTGAACTAGATTAGCTACTAAGAAAGGGAAAGCATTGGAACAGAAAAGGTTAGTTCTAATTAAACAATCTAATCATTATTTGTTAAATATATATAGTTAGCTCCATACATCTGAGTATTCTTTTCACATAAGAACAGTTAGGGATCCTTATTCTTTCCAGAACCCCCTTTTGTGATTTATGGCTCCAATAAGCTTTGTTCTAAGCCTCTCTTTGGTGGAGTATTTAGGCAGCAACAGGAGGCTGTGGCAGGTGAGAGACTCCGGAAAGTGCTCTTCAGTAAAATGTGGCAGAATACTAATTCTCATTTTAATGCAGTTCATCCCTAAAATGGGAACTCGATCACATCCTGTCACAAACACTGGAATAAAAAGACATTAGGATTAGCAGTAAATAATAGTAAAATATTTAAGGTGTAAAGTAGGTACTTTGAACTTGAGTGGTTAGTGTAATCTGTATATTCTTCCATTTTGGCAGCACTGAGACAGTTCTAGGAATGTTTTTTTCCACATTTTAGGTGAGAATTTTTAAAATCATTTTCTAATCAATGGAATTACCTGTGTGACTAATCAAGGGGAGAGCCATGGATAATGTTGCCTTCTATCAGTGATATTCTTTTGGTTTTTAACGTGTTTCAAGGATTGAAAAATACCTTTGTCATAGTGCCCCCTGTGAATTGCACTGAATCACAGCAATGACAAAGAAGCAGCCAGCAGTTCAAAGGCTGTTCCTAGTAACTAGTGCTCCTGTTATAGATGAATGAAGTTTGATTGTTCATAGTTTGATATGTTAATGCTTGAATGGAATTTGTGTGTATACAGTACATAAGTTGTGTCTAGATATTGGTGTTTCATATTGAGTCAAAACAGGGAACTACTTCATACATAGAGATACAGGTTTTTCTTTTGTTTCTATACAACCTGTTTCCTTTTCTTCAAACCTGCCACACAGTAAAGGGAGACTATATATATATATCCTGGAATTTTGTCTATGTGTTGGTTTTTCCACGAGTGAAGATCCAAAATGACTACTTTGAGATGTGGGATTTTTTGCAACTTAATAAAATCCAGAAACTTTCTCTTGCTTAAATTTTCAATCTACACAGTAAATGGAGGCACGTGATAGTAGCAGGACACAATTCTCTGGAAATGTGCTTTTACTGAGTATCTAACTGCATTCTATGTACAGTGGCATAGCATACAGTTGTTAAAAGACTGCTTTGAAACAATAGGTATTGTATGTATTGAAGATGTTATACAACCAAGTTATGAAAAAGCAAAAACTTTAAGCGAGGAGGAAAGATTAAGTTGTTGGAGGTGAATACTGTATTTGTTTTCATCATCGTATTAGATTCTTGTCCATTCATCACTGTTTCTCCAAAAATCTTGAAAATGGCTAAATGTAAATGGTATTTTTGTGACATACAGACTAAAGTTCGTCTAACAATTATAATTATAATTATCAACAAATTAATGAATACTGAAAGCATGTTAATTCTAAATCTAAAATAATTCAAGTTTAACACTTACAGAGGAAGCTTTTTTTCTCTTCTGTTGACAGTTCATCAAACACTTCCCAGAACAATCTGATATTAGCATGATTTGCGTGGTACTCTCCTTCATACAATGTATTCTACATGAAGAAAAAAACAGTTAAAGAGAAATCTTAATAATTTTGATAGAATCTCTGACGCTAATTAGCTAAAAAGCACACGTGACAGAAAGAGTTGTCTTAGAGTCTGTAATATTAGATAAGATATGATTAGTGCTTTTTCAAACACACCATCAAAAAATGAAAGAATCGCAATTCTCACCTGCTTTAGTTTCTCCCAATCATAGTCTTCTTTCCCCACAATAACCCCCATCAATTCCTCTGGCTGGAAGAACTCGAGTATGTCCACATTACAGACTTTGTAAAAACCTCTCTTGAATTCTTCAAAGAGTTTTGCCACAGATTTGTTGAACACATAGTCCACAAAGGCACTGACAAACTGTTTCCTTCAAAAACACCATATAAGAAAATTAGACATTAGACAATCTTCTATTGTATTCCTGTAGTGTGGGTGTCCCATGCCTAGAGAGGATTTTCATTTTATCAGAAGGAACAGTTGTGCAGTGGTTGGCATTGCTGCTTCATAGTGCTAGATCCCTAGGTTTAATTCCAGACCTGGAGTTCTGTCTGCGTGGAGTCTGTATGTTCTCCCTGCATTTGCACGGGTTTCCGTCAGGTGCTCTGGTTTCCTCCCACAGTACTAGTACAGTAGGTTAATTGGCATTAGTGTCAGTGGTGTGTGCCCTGTGATGGACTGGTGTCCCATTCAGGGTATCCCCAGCCTTGTACCTGTTGCTTGCTAGGATAGGCTCTGGCGTCCCCTCAGCCCTGAACTGGATGAAGTGATTAGGAGATACGTGGATGTTTTTTCCTTTAAACTTGGTTTTGTACTATCCCATTCCCTGTGCGTCAGCCGCCATGTACTATGTTTAAAATGGCTTTTGAAAGTGTCAGAAAAAATAATAGTACACCTTTTGGAGTATCACATGCCTTTAATTGTAGCTTTGGAATATAAAAAAAAACATAAAATGTATACAGTATGTATTTTTGCTACATTCTACACAGTTCATCCACCCATTTCCTAACTGTTCCATGCGGTTCAGGGTTGCAGGGGAGCTGGAGCCTATTCCGGCAAGCAATGGGCACTAGGCAGGGTACACACTGGCCTGGATGCCAGTCTATCGCTGGGCACATACAGTACAGACACACCCACTCACACCGGGGCCAGTTTTCCCAGAAGCCAATTAAGCTACCAGCATGTCTTTGGACTGTGGCAGGAAAATTGAGTACCTGAAGATAACCTGCGTGAATGCGGGAAGAGCATACAAACTCCAGAACCCAGGACCCTAGTGCTGCAACACACCGATGCTAACCACCGTGCCACTGTGCTGTCCCTCTGTGTAGATCACTGCATCTCAAATGATTATTGCCAGGAGTGCACTGTTTATTTGACTGAGATCGTCATTCATGGAGACTTACAGTTAATGTAATTGCATTATGTTATCAATTAATTCAACTAAAGGCAGGAACTCACAAGCCTCTGATCATGAGTCTAGAGGCTAAGGATTGTTCCACACTGCTGCTTTTAAAGAAACTGAGAAAATTCCACAAATAAGTGTTGGGCTCAACAATATTTGCTGAATTTGAATGCCTTTCAGTATATAATGGAATATTTAAAACTCTGTAAAACAGTGTCTACTATTGTACTCAGAATTGTTGAAGAACATAATAATTTACTCTCTTGGTCATGCAGTGAACTGATACAGCATAATATACATTGATAGTCTTCTCTGAATTGTATCATAAAATCCTTACTTGTTTGCATTATTCACAGCTTTTTCATTCTCTTGAGGATCAAGGTGAACATCTTTCTTATCCCAGGAGACCTATTAATAGTATAGAAAAATACATTTAAACATACTAAATGAACAGTATGTCTTTCAAATTATGGAAGCCATAGTAAATGATTATAGTTAATCCATCAGGGGTTCTAGGATATAGATTTTGAGAGCGGAAAAAGAGAAAGCCATGTCTGACAGAGAAGTATCATAAACAATGCTTTATAATTTCATATACATCATTGTGTATAAGCTACTGTAAGTACCTTGCAATTCCTCTGCTGGATTTGAATAGAATAGACTTTAGTTTGCATGTGACATACTTCCTAAAAACAATCAGCTACAGTAGCAACAAATAATTAATAAATTAATTTAGGTGATATGGTTAGTGATATGGTTACATACTGTAAAGGTCAGATCAAGGACTTCAAAGTCTTCTTCATCGCTTTCCAAGATGCACTTCAAGCTCCTTAGCACACAAACACAAAAAATGTCTTAGAATTAATGTCAAAGTGATTTTCACTCAAAATCAAAATATACATTTTACTCAATGAATACCTATGATGTGAAGTGTGGCTTTCATGTCAAATTAAATATTTTGTTTAGTAACAATTTTAATAACATAAAATAACAGGTAGTGGTTGACCAGAACAAGCACTGCATTTCTTTTCTGTGTTCAATTCTTACTCACCTCCCTAACACAGAATCCAGCTCTTCCAGATCCTCCAGTGTTGGCTTTACACCTACCAGCTTCTTGAAGAAGGCCAGTGGGAAGGGAAGATGTACAATATTGTTATTGTACATTGCTAGGCCACAGAGAATCCCAAACAGGAAGTATCTCTTCTGGGCCAGTGTGGGCTATGAGGACAGGAACGTAAAACAGGATTAGAATCATGGAAGCTGCATCAAGCTCCAGGTTCATGATTTCTTCAGCAACAGAGTGAAAAGTTTGCTGAATGAATATAAACTAATATAAACATGAAACCCGAAAAAGGCTCCACGGTCGAAACTTATTTAACCTTTTCTTCTCTTTTCAGCATGGAATAACCTATGACTTGTTCCTTATAAACTAATATGATGATTAACATTAAAATATTACAACGTATTAAAGTATTACATACCATTTAAGCTAAATAAATAACAAACTATTTTAAACTAAATAAACACGTCTGATATCATGGTATTTGTACAATATTGTATGTTGAAGGTGATCTCTGTTGTAACTGAAGGAATTACAGTACAGGTGAAAACCACTATGTCCACTTTGACAAGGATCATAAGTAACATATACCTTGTAGGCTACTTTTTTATATTTAATACAAATAATATCTCTTACATCTCAATAACTTACATTAGATGGAAACCACATTAATGAGTTTGATTCATTGTACCAGAACATTCCAGAATCTGGAGCAATGAGTTGGTCAAAAATGTGAAGAAAGAAATCCTTTTTATTGACAGCTGTTTGTTCCAAGTCTCCAACAAACTCTACCTGCATGATAAGCAAACATAATAACTTTGTTAGGAATGAAACATGGTATGAACTTCTTTTTGCATCGCCAAAAAATAGGTTCACGGAACAAGAGCAAAGCAAACATTTGGTCTTAAATTATGTTCCAAGAAATTGTAGCTACCAGTTTCTAAAATAAACTTGCTTACTGTATAAGGTAAAAAACCACATGTCTGCCATGCAAACCAGAAAAGCCAAACAGGTAGAAGTTATTAATGTCAAATAAAAAAAAGAAAGAAGTATCCAAAACTAAAATGGTGACTGCAGAAGTATGCTCCCCTACCCTGAGTTAATATTTGGTGGAAGCATCTTAAGTGGCAATTACAGATGCAAGTCTTTTTGGCTAGGTCTCTGTCATCATTACACCATTACATTTCCACCCACTCTTTCCTGTAATCTTGTTCAACATCTAGAGCTATTCCAGGTTAGTTGGGGACACTGGTGAATGGCAATTTTCATGTCTTGCCATTTTGAGATTTTCACAATTCTAGACAGTGTGCACTTTCCATTTTTGTTCCAAAAAGTGATTAAAGTTAACTAAGCGATTCTCATGAAAACCTTAATTTATGATATAATATTCATATGGTGATGTGCATAAATATAGATTGTAACACACTTAAATGGTTGCAAGCTGGAATCATTGGGTTGTATTTGACAAATGATGGTTTATGTACTATAAGAATTCTCCAAAAGCACTTGTGAGCTGAAGGCCTATATTTAAATATATGTAAATTAATTATTTTAGAATAATTGTGTTCTAAATGTCCCTGTTTACACAAATACCATAAACTCACATACAGTAATACTGCACTAATAGTTAGCAGCTAACATGGATTTTGTACCAAGAACCCTGCCAAGAATATTGACAATGGCCTATCATTGCCAGTGTTTGGCATCAACATTTTACAAGACGTTGACAATAGCCTCCAATATGCTGATGAACAAAACATTGTTCTACTCATAAGAAAGACATATTGGTTAATTTCTGTGAATTTCTTGATTTTCACCAGGCTTTTCATTCCAGCTCACACTGATACAGCTCATCACCAGTGCCCAAAAAAGTACTTCACTAATGTGTAAGTGTATAGTACTTACAGTGCATAAAAGTCAAAGTGACTTGAGTGTGCCACAATGGTTAATTAATCAAAATGATGCCAAAAACCTATCAAAAGCCAAACAGCTATCAAATCCCTATAATACTGATAAAAACATTCATGCACACAGTGAGGTTTCTTTTGATGCTCTTTATATACAGTATAATATACTCAAAACTCTGTCGTCTCACCGAAAGTTCCTTCCTTAAGTCTTCATCGTTTGCAAGATTCAGCTGCCTGAAGGTGTCCCGGACCAGATTTGGGCGTGTCACCCGGAGCTGGAAGATTGGCTTGGGGGGAATTTCAGAGGCTCCCTGTGTCATTTGATACTTTACAATGGCCTCGAATGTTTCCCATCTGTGTAATTGCTGAAACCGCATATGGCAGGCCAAGAAAAACAAAGAAAAACAAAACTATGGATTGCTTGTTAAAGACATTAAAGGGCTTTATTTCAGGAAGAGAAATACCCAGTCAATATACCATGATTTATTTTCTTCAATTTGAAATCCTCCTGCACTTTTTATAACAGAAATACAAGAGCAACAACTGAAAATCTCACCTTTATTAAGCATGCATCAACATAAAACAGATTAGTCTTAACCTGCAGATTCAGAACAAAAGGAAAGCGGCAGAAAATAATAGGTGTCTCATCTGTGTCCTGAAACAAAAAAAGAAAATAATGATGTTACTTCGATCTAGATAATGAAAATAAAAAATTACTCGTTACAGAACACAATTACTGTAAATTGTATATTACTGCAAATGTATACAGCATTTAAAATCAAATTTACAGCTAATAATAGTGCACATGAGATCTCCACTGGCTGAACGAGAGATAAATCCCATAACCAGCCTGTGCTAGCTCTGCTGTGAGGCACTCTGGAGTTTGTGGCATGTCAAGTGCACAGCACCTTCGTAAGTCATCCACTTGTCTCTGCAAGCTGCTGGAGTGGTTTTCTCAGAGAGCCATTTCATTCAGCAATCAATTATTCCAATTGTTAAAACTTCAACCCCCCCCAGCTGTAAACTCAATACCCCATACTTGATCATTCATTAAGACTGAACATAAGAACATGAGAAAATATACATGCACAGCAAGGAGTTCATTTGACCCATGTAACCCATTTAGTAGTTAGTAGTTAATTGATCCAAGGATCACATTTGGCCATTTCTTGCAAGACGCCAGGGTATCAGCTTCAGTAACATGGCTAGGTGACTTGTTCCATACTCCTTATTTTGGGTAAAGAACTCAGGACTTCAAGTACCCCAGTGTTGTGCTAGTCCTGTGTGAGTTCTTGTCCATACCAGAACAGGGGATACCTACCGTAGATTACAAACCTCAACCTTTACTGATCATTCCCTGATAGAACGGGTCATGTGAAAAGTGTGAAACAACAGAAAATGTTTATACTGGTAACAGTCCAATGAAAGGTTTATAGTTTACACACATACAACTTAATAACACTATTCTAGCACTTAAAAGCATTTTATTCCAGATTAAATCCTTTTTAAGCAGCAGCCTCAAAGTTTATGAATCACATACCTCTAGTTTTGCCCACAAACGCCAGTTTAACAGATCCTGATCCAAAAACAAATGTAAGGCGATCTCATCTATATAGAATTCACTCAAGGGGACACTGTGTGTGGCCTTTTTATTAGCCTGCAAAATTCAAGAGTTAGAAAGTATTATTAATACTATCAGGACATGATAACCAACAAAAGCTCAAATATGATTCTTTTTCCTGATTCACTCTTTAGTTCGGGGATATCCAAACATGCTTACATACTAATGAAATATTTCAAAAATGTATTTCTTTATCAATATCAATATCTGTTTAAGGCACACTTTATTTATTCAACGTAAATATTTCATTTTGCTATGTATTACTCATTTTAATATCAATCAATCATAGCCCAATTGTAATCTAGAGACATACATAGAATTTCAGCATCAGTAATTATAATTATTATTATCATTACAGAACTGGAGAAGCAAGTTTTGGCCCTGGAAGGCAGTAGGATATTCATATTTTCATTTCAAATTCATTCAAAATAACTAGGTTGTCTTTTCTGTTTGAGAACATTTTTTAAGGGTGACCGATAAAAATTGGAATTTGGAGTCCAAAATCACAGCAGGCCATGTCTGCTACTGAAATATCTGAGAAAGCGCTTGGAATGATGCTTTATTAACCAGGTTTCATATTCCATGTAACCAAAAGAAATGTGTAATAGGTTACCCACTTTGTAGAAATGTTTTAAAATACAGAGAACATCTCTCATCTTGGGTTTAAAAACCTCAAACAACCCTGATTTCAAGATGAAAGCCACAGCACGCTTGAACATGTGGATGTGCTTTTTCCGGAATTTTGGCTCCAGAAAAGACCACCATTTTTCTAGAAGAAGAATGAAAGACGTTTTAAGACTTCATTGGAAATGTCTTTTAGACTGCTTAAAACTATTGTTTTTTTTAAATAAATCTGGCTAATAGTGATAAGCACTGCTACTATCTAAAAATAAAGCTACTGTAAATCAAATTGTGGGTGACATAATATTGGCACATCCAACAACAGAAATGTACAGAAAGCATTATTTAGAAATGGAAATAGATGTAGTCAAGCATATTAAGAATATAAATACCTAGTTTTAGATATCTACTATTTTTAAAGACAAGATACAAAAAATATAAAGTAGAAAACCAGGTCAGCCTAGGTGTTTCTACAATGAGAATTTTCAGCATTATTATTTTCTTTCCAAGGTATTTTCTTACTCAGGGTTTCCATAGATGAATCCTTTAGATTAAGAATGGCTGTGGCCAATGGAAGGACAAGGTGAATGATGTTTTCATCTGCATGGAACGCCTCACATTCAGGAAGTATCAAAAAAATATCCAATAGCTTCATTAATCCAGATGCAGACAGAAGATTCGGTATCAATTTTTCTCTGAGGCCTGAAGCAATCTAGAGGTAAAATCAGAATATCACCTAAATTATACAGGATAAAAAAAGGTAAGAACAAGAACAATAACTTTTAGACCTAAAAAATATCCTGGTTATGAGCAGATGTGCAATCCATTGTCAATTCATGCTGTTGACTTTAAACATGGGAGAACAACTAAAACTTTACCATCCTGGGATACGATTGATTTCTCTTCTGTTTCATTGAAGATTAGCCCAACTACAGTTGCAGGTGCACTACAGTTGCTCCAGACAGGGCAGATTATTGAGGAAGGTGATCCACTCCAGAGATGGCCAATCAACCATGGTTGTCGGAGGAGGGAGGAGAAGAGAGTACCCAAAGAAAATACAAACTGCACAGAAGGGATCCCAACCGGGACATGAATGCAGAACCCAAGAACTCTGAAGTAGTAATGTTAACTGCTTCAGATCCATAGCACACATACCTGTAGGTTACCCATCCAGAACTCTATCCCTAATTACAGTAGTTATACCTTCCCTTTTGTTGCAAGTTATGAAAAAGATACATGGAAATCTCCAAAGAAAATATTGTGTACTTACATTTACAGTAAAATAATGTAAAAAAACTGTACTTAAAATTACCGTAAAATGTTTTAAGTTGAACAGACTCAACATACCTGCTTACTGATCCAAGTTTTTTTCTCAAGTTGCCTTAATGTACTTCTCACAGCTTGTAAATCAACAATGTAGGGGTCTGAGACATTTGATGGAGGAGAGTCAGTGCTGAGGGTAAAAGTTCCAAACATGAAAGTCACAATAGGAGAACACTATTCAGAATGTGTAAGTATTCAGCAGTATTTTTATGCAATCAAAGAAACAACAATTTTATTGGGAAACAAATATAATATATAGGCATACTGGGGCATTATTCCTTAATGTTATAAAAGTGGGTGTTTATAACATTTGTGTAAATCATAAACTGTTCCTTGATGTCAGTCTACACTGTATCACCTCGAAACATGTTTACACTTGTCATACCAATTTATCAAGAGCTGAAAAGAAAAACACCAGCAAAGGCCTTAGTTTGGAGTGCTGGTTAGATCCTACAGTGGACACTTTCACCCTGGGTTATGCTACGTACTAGATGTAGCCTGAATTTCCCCGATGTCTCCAGGATTGGGATGGTTTGGCTCATGTCACTTATATTACTGGCTTACTGTACAACAATGTCTTATGGGATCTGTCGTGCACTTGTGACATTACCAGTCAGGGATAATGTTTATGGAGCATGTCAAAATCTGAAAGGCTCTGATAGATGGGGATCTAAGAGGACTGTATGCACAGGTCTCTGTTCTCTTCTGTGCAGTGGTATAGCCCATAACTTCCTTCTATTTAAGTATTGACTTCAACTCTTCAAGTTCTGATTCTAACCCTTACTCCCATCTAGACCCTACAGTAAGTATAAAATCAACTGTCCATTTACACTTAAATGTACCCTGGCAGACAGGAAAGGATTTGTTATATTGGGAAAATTATCAATGCTGTAGCTTTAATATGTTATTATTTGGTACTAGTAGAATCATAAAAATGCGGAGATTTAAATATAAAGGAACCTTACCTGTTTCTTAAAAAACTTGCAACAAGGCACGAGCTTGATGAAAAGACTAAGGTAATCTCACTAAGTAAACAAAAGAAGTTGATAAAATTACAAATCAGATTTTCATATCAAACATGAAATATCACACATTATACAGTATATATCACATGTGTACCTGCTCAACAGAGACCTGGCATAATACATAAAAAAGAAGAGGTAGGTGATCTTAATAATAATTGCCAGAATAAGATTAGTGTAATAAATAATAAAGGTGTTATGCACCATTAATTTCAATTTTAATTTCAGTAATTAAAATAATATTCTAACCAGTTTAGCATAAATAAGGCTTGAATGTTACCATTTTAATTTTTCTCTCTGAACGCCTCACTTTATATGGTCATTAAATTAGTGTAACGAAAGCGTTCTTTCTGGACCCTATGCAGACGACACGATAGAGTGACACTCTACTAGGGTAGAGTGAGGAAAACACAGGGAAAAAGCATGCGGGAGGCGGGAATGAAAACAGGGGGCGTGTCCATGGCGCGCTGGCGTTCGGGGAAGGTGTGGCCGAGGCAAACAATTCAGAACTAAGTCCAAGGGGGAATCCAAGATTAAACGAAAAACCAAAACTGGGCGGTCCATCCAGGACGAACAGAATCAAAAAAGGGAAACGGGTCGGAACCAGCAGGAACAGGAACTTAAAAGCTTGACAGGACCAGGCGCTTCCACGTCCCGGACTCGCCTGGTACGGGAACCAATGCAGAGCCCAGAACAGAGCAGGCGTCTGGCTTTTAAGGGGAACTGAAAGGGGGGCTGAAACAGAGAGCAGGTGTGGGAGATGAGTAAAGAACAAGGAAGGGCTGGAGCGTCCTTAAGAGGAGGGGTTTACGAACGTGACAATTAGTAATTAAGGCATCTGTGCACTCTCTAGATTCAGGATCTTTATCTACTGTATATTTCAGTAGATCTGGTCAGATTTGGTTAGAGGTAAAAATAAAAAAAGCATAATAATGATAAAAGGCTAAATTTGGGAACTACTGGAAGAAATGTGAGCAAAACTAACTTGGGTAACTAGTCTGGTTTCATGATTTTATCACGATCTTGGATCTGCAGCAGACAATCATAATATAATATTTTAAGTAATCAATATCTATATCCCCTATTTTAATTAAGCTAATTATTTTACTAGCAATAAAATCCAGTAGGTATAATCATGTATAAGCCTAAGTAGAAGACTATTGTGAGTGGATTACTACATACTGTAACTGAATTTTTACAAATATCTGCATCAATAAAATAATGCATCATATGGTATAGCTACATTCAATGTGCCTAATAATAAGACACCTAGGCACCACAGGAACCCTGCTATGACATGGTATGGATCTGCCTTTAACCACTGCAGGGTACCTAACTAAAAATTAAAATACAAATAAAACCAACCTTTTAGCCTCTTTCCAATCTGTACCGCAAGCTGGCACTGTCAGCCATTTCTGAAGCACGTGCCCATCAATTTTACTGATTTGCCTTAGAGATTCAGAACACTGCAAGATTAAAGCAGATAATTTAAGATATTTATTATTACAATTTACATTTTCAAAGAATTATAATTGTAACTGTACTGTTCCAGCCAGGGTTAGCTTTCATGGAGTGTGTCAAATTCCAAAAGGCCCTGATAGGTTGGATCTAGGAGGACTGTATAACAAAGGTCTTCATTCTTAAAGAATGTACTGTATGAATTTGAAGGCAGGAATGCAAAATATATTGTCTTTTGTGGGTATAATAACAGTTTAATAAAAATATAGTACTATAGTATAGAAGAAAATACTCTTCAACGTACACCCATGTGAGTCCACTGTCTTGGTGTTGGATATTGGACTTTCCTGGTTTTGTAAATTATCACAAGTATAAAAAAGTACAGTACATGGAAAAAACCTTTCATAACCTTTTTATATATTAGTTCAAATCTTTAATACCATATCATACACATTGGTGTTTTGAAGTGTATAAGAATTACAATAACTGTAACCCAAAACCTTCCTTAAACAATAACATATAAAGTTATATTTCCAAAATACAGTGTGTAACACATTTTTTCTTTTTTGTAGAAAAACACTATTCCCTCTTATAAGATTGATCAAGAGTGGGGTTATTTTATGATTCTTGATATCATATAAGGTTGCCACACAAATATATTACTTTAATTATATAATATTCAAGTAAGGAGCTGTGTTGACACCTGCTAAAGGCTCTGAAGCCAGATTATTATGATTTTTCTATTTTTCAGCATTGAATTAACCTCTACTTGTGCCTTAGCAGCTCCCACTCTGATACAGCTCCCCATTGTATTGTAATGCTTATGGCCGACAGGCACTGTGTAAGAGCCGGCGTACCAGAGCAGTGACGTCACCGCCCTTCCCTGTGATAGCAGGACTACAGCTACTGGGCTGTAGAGAGATCTCTCTTTGGCTCACCGGGCTGGGTCCCTGCTAAGAGACGCGGGAGTCCTGGGTTCAAGCCCCTGACTGTGGGGGGCTGACCTAATGCGGCAAGGGCACCTGCCTGAGCCCCCGTTGCGTTACAGTATTATATAAAGATTTTTATGAGGAAGATTTTGTCTGTTGGCTTTTTACTGTATTTAAGAAGTAAAGTATGATATTTGGTGTGCTTCTTTCTATTTTTCAAGGTTGCAATGTGACATTACTTTTAAAATATTGAGTTTGAAGGTCTTCACTTTAGCCTTTTTTCTTTATCGGGATATGAAAAAAGAAACACAAATTGTAACTCATTACCTCTGGAGGTGCTGTATGAATAAAGCTTGTATTCCATCCAGCAAAAAGTTTGGTGGTTTGGTAATCTGGAGATTCTGGAAACAATCACACAAATAGTGAAACACCTCATGTGTAAAATGCTTTTACGTACAGTATATTCAAGAAATTTAAGAAATCCTGGTGTGCAGTTTTGACCATCTTGCCAAATTAACTATGAAGTTGAACAGCTTGTAAAATGTGGTGTTTCAGTAAGACTTCACTGTGGCAAAATCAAGACTATTTCAGAACTGCTTTCTGACTAATTGCTTATACAGATCTGTAATACTCCTGTGTACATAAGTCAGACTGTAACTGTCACCACCTTATTATTTGCACAAGTAAACTATAACTTTTTCATCCATTCCAGTGCAAAGTTGTGATGAGTGAAACAGTCAGAGGAGCTGTGATTTTTAAAATTTCAGAATTGTAAAAATTAAACACCTTTCTCTCCATTTTCTGGTAATTGAGAGCTCCAGGTCTGCTGCACTGTGACGGGCTGTAGCTGGTTGGCTGTATCTCCATTCCCTAACTGCCCCTTACTGCCACTGCCGAAGCTCAACAGCAATCCAGAGGACAGTACGTGAACAAGTGTGTGATATCTGGAAAACAAATAACAGTGTGCAATAGTTTAATGCTTAACTGGTTTTCTTTCAGATAATGATAGAGTACTATCAGAGTCCTATAAATGTAAATTAGTGGTACCACAAAAAGAACATTTGCATGACTTTGAAGCCCACATTCATTTTTTCCATTTTGTTTCATTCAGTTCTTATTTTTAACTTTGAAAAGAATAAAAGAAAAGGTTGAAGCACAATAATTGTGAAAACTGGATTCACATTCATTGGGTAATTAAAAAACACATCTTCATTACCATAAATTATCTCACATAGCCCATCAGAAATAATATAAATTAGTTTATACTGTGAAACTGAGTAGACATGCAAATTACTTAATGCAAAGTAATTTACATTTATTTTTCCATAATATTATCTCTTTTAATTTTTTATTACTTTATTGACAGATTATTACACAGCTTAACGATACACATATTTGCTGCTTACTATAATAGTAAAATACTGACATATTTTATAATGTAGGTAATATAAAGTATACAAAAACAAGCTGCAGGATCAGTGCCTTAGACAAGGCTCAAATCCTTCATATTCAGGCTTAAATGCATACCTATAGTAGCCTCTAAAAATTATGTAACTTTTGTGGAAAAACGGGATATTTCCAATGTGCCCAGCATATATATTTAAGGCATTAAACAATCTAAGGCTACAAAACACAAATTAAGACTTGCTAAAGCTCTTTTCAAGTACAAAGCAGTATATTATTGTGAGTTTCATATTATGGTACCAACATTTGTGTACTGAAAGCACAATAACACAGTCAGAAATGGGCTTGTTTGTGTTCTTTTTTCAAAAGCAGCCATCCTGTCATTTCGTAGATTAAAAAGCCTGACACAATTCTGTGGCCATTTAGAAAAGTTGAAAGAATAAAACCATTTTACTTCAGTTGTACCTGCCACATGCTACTTCAGAGGCCCGGTCATTTATATGCTCCACTTTTCTCGGCTTGAGTTCATTAGCAGTGGAGTTGTGACCCAGTTGACCAAAACGTCCATCTCCAAAAGTATACACACTCCCATCCTGTAAGATATGCAGAACAGATGAAGTGCATGAACTGCTCATTTCTTGGCATTGTTATGTCTTCCTTACAATCAGAGCACATGACATCTGTAGAATTCTGTACTGAATTAAGTGCAACACACTAGCATTACTGAAACTGTGGACCAGTGGTTAGGGCTCTGTGCTTGTAACAGGAAATCAGCTTTATGCTGCATAATGAGATTGAAAAAAAGCAGGTAAGATCAAATGAAAGATTCCTACCTTAGTCAGAGCAGCTGTGTGGGCTTCACCACAACTTATACAGGAAACACCAAGAGATTTGACAGCAGTCACAGCACATGGAGAAAATCTACCTAAGGAAAGAAGCATTTTTTAATGTATTAACGTTAAACTTAGTTGAAGACGGTCATATTTTTTTAACTACAGCAGGGTCTCAACATTTGCAAATTTAACATTTGCTAATTTTCTCATTCGCAGTTAGGTCTTGCCAATGGCGTCTTGTAGAAGAAGAACTGGATGAAACTGAACTTAGGGTCTTTAACCACAACTTTTGAATTAGCGGCATAACAGACTGGGATCTTGAGACAAATCTACCTATGTGAACTTGTGTAATGTGAACCTCTCCCTGCCACCTGCCCGAGTACCCACTACCCAGTATCCACATCAATGTTTAGTTAACACTCTGGTCCTGCTACATGGGGACTGACAGGTTGGAGACGACTTACAGACGTCATTAGAGTGGTGTGTGCTTGTCACAGAGGCAGAGAGAAAGCACAGGGAGGACACAAAGGAGGGATTCATGTTTATTTCCACTGATTCCTATAAGTTTATGATTACTATTGTTTCTTTCAGTTGATAAATGTTATTTTAATAAAGTGCATTAGTACTTTAATTATCACATAGCTTTTGTAGCTTTTTGTCCTGATATTGGTCTGTCCAGGTACCCTCTGAACCCTGACCTTGTTCTCCTTTTTGCAAGTTCACTTCCGCTCTCCCTGCCTCTACAAAAGGGAAGCTTTCCTTCCACTCTCTCTCTTTTCATGCCACCCCAGGCTGCCGGGCAGTAGGCCATTCCTCCTCGCCCTGCCCTCCTCCCTCAGCCTCCTCTCTGTGACTGGCACACCTGTGTAACTAAGAAGGGTAATAAAGATGTCGCCAAATGGGGCTTGTTCACAGCGAGGATGTGCTGGAAAGGACCGTAGGCCCTTTACAGGGACTAGGGAGGGAAAACCCTGCTCTTTTGAGCACCTGCAGAAGACTGGACAACTGCAGTTTCAGAGCCAGGACAGGTCAAGGTGGTAAGGCTTGGAGGGACTCTTTTATTGTGCAAATCCAGCCCCAGCATGCACTTACAGTACATAGATTGAAAAAGGACACAATCACCTCTTTAAGAACTTTTTGATAGTGTAGTAGAGGTTGTATGGTTTGGTAGAGTGTGTACACATTGTGAGATGTATATTGTGAAACAAAGTTTATTTCTGTCTCCTACTTCTTCTCATATACTGCTGACTCAGTGAGGGGAATTAAAAGGGGGATAGATTTTAGTGCATTACATGACAGTATAGGGATGGACTTGATTCTATGCGAATTTGGCTTTTTGTGACGTAACGTTGAGACCCTACTGAACTTTATTTCAGGTCAGCTGCATCTTTTAGTTAAAAAGTCACATGTATAAATAGATATTTATGAATGACCAAATTTAAGAATGACGATATGGTTGTAAACAATCGAATTGTGAAAAGAATGAAGGTGTGTTTTTCAGCAGGTTATAAGAAATAACAGGGGCTGATCCCCATTTTCCTGTTTCAGTACCTTTTTCATCAACTCTGTTGATCCCCAGCTGTCCAGCATTGTTGGCCCCCCAGCAGTACACAGCCCCCGAGAGGGAGAGAGCGAAGCTGTGAGCCCCCCCTGCAGCGATCTGGGACACTGGCACTCCTGACAGTGAGAGGACCTGAGTGGGAACGGGCTGAGAGGGAGTCCCCTTTCCAAGACCCAGCTGGCCAAGGGAGTTCTGCCCCCAGGAGAAAACTGCCCCACCTACCGGATTCAAAAATTATCACAATAATGTAATATAATAATGTAAGGACAATACACATGGATGGGTTTTCTTTACAGTTCCTTAACCTAGAACATAATGAAATACTTTCATTCTTTTGTGATGGACTTCTGACAGAGGTCAACATGACTTTTAGAGACATGAATATTAATTTAAAGGATTTATTCAGTCTAACAGTTGACAACTAACTAAAGAACATTCTTAATGAATTCTCAATAAGACAGAATTATGTATTTTGAAGAATATGGAATTTAATTAAAATGTATTTTAAGATTACTACATAACCTGTGTAAGTAACCCTCAACTGCACATTTTCTAAAATCACACATTTATTCATGCTTTGCTGAAAATAAATGTGTTTTGTTCTTGCATTCCCTGAAATACTTGTATACATTCCTTTGCTCTAATTTCAGATTGATTTCCTGTGATGTTAAGAGAGAAGGGTATAATATGTATTTTCTAGATTGCTTGCAATATAGTATTGTTATATGTAATGAAGAAGCATACCTTTTGAAAGTGCCAAGGAATGAAAATTTCCACATGCAACTTGAATCACTGGTATCTGAGTGGTTAATAATGCTTGTATCTTTCTGAAAATAAACAGAGCAGTATTACACACACACACCTGTTCCCTATTTCCATTTTTATTAGAACATACTTATAAATGAGTAATGTTTATATATAAAAGATATGTGCCTATGGATAAAAGCAACTGTATATGGGTACTCAGTGTTGGTATTATATACTATATATGTGTGTATATATTCTCTGTTTTCTTGCCTTGGTTTTGTAACCTTTGCTTCAAAAGCGCCAGTTCCCAGCTGTCCCTCGCTCCCTCTGCCCCAGGAGTACACCTGTCCCGACTGGCAGAGCGCCAGGCTGTGCTCCTGACCGCAGGCCACCGACACCACTCCTGTCAGACCCTGGACTCGCGCTGATAAAGAGGTGTTTTTATTTTCATACATGTAGTCATTAAGTTTTCTAATAAGAACATTCAAACATTTGACAGTCTTTGATTAAATTAAATTTCAATTCAGTGTTATCACTGAATAGTATTTTTCATTTTGACAACATCTTGGTTCAAATTACAATATTATTCACCGATTACGCACACAGTTACGGTAATCCTACAAATTCACCGCCCAAAACGGGGGCTCACAGAGTAAGGGCTCCGAACGATGAAATGAAACTGAAACAACTGTAAGATGAAACGAAAGTTAGAGATGAGGTGATTTATAGGGAGAGATACAATAAAAGTTGCTTTATTTTTTTTTTTTACTTTTAAAGCATCTGTCTTTAACTGCATCGTCACAGAATATCTGTTATTTAGCCTTTAATTTCAATGAGACACACTTAATTCCTAAATAGTACATTTTTACTATGCATATCACAGTGTCCTCAATATTTTATTCTAATACTTAAAACACGATCCAAAAATTACAGAATCAAGTTACATTAAAAACGGTATCATTAATGTTAAGACTAAAAGCTAAATTAAAAAAAAAACTTACCTGGAGTTTTTTGATCCGGGATGCTCTGTCTACCCAACTGTCCCTTTGAATTACGTCCACTCGACAAAACTTTGCCTTCTTCATTGAGAAATAATGTGTGCTGTTCTCCACACGCAACCAGGGAAACATGTCGGAGTAGCGGGTGAACTTCTGCGGGCTGCAGAACCAGACTGTCATTCTCTTGTAGGTCCAGACCAAGCTGCCCACTCGTCCCTTCTCCCCAGCAGTACATGTTCACCGGCAGTGTAGTCAAGGATGTGAACAGGCTGGCTGTTCAAACTGCTTTAAGTCTGTGACTGCGACTTTTTTTTATCTTCCGATCCTGGTGTCCTATCATGTGCGTGGAGCCAGGAATGAAAAAATTAGGAATGCAGCTTCCCCTTGACAAAGACCTCTTGAGCTCCTTTCAGTAAATCCAGCATCCGATCGAATTTCATTATGCTCTAAACATTGGGACTGCAAAAGCCAAAACTATTATTTTACTTTACAGTTAATTTAATATTTGTTATCATGAGATTAATATGAATTATAAGTACGGTTGATCATATTATAACATACCGTAAGTCCTGTCCATTAATTTCAAGTGACTGAAACGACTGAAAAATAATTATTGGGACATATTCACTTTAATAATAAGCATTGTTTTAGTGTTCTTGTTCTGACTTGAATTTGCCAAGTGAAATACATGCTTGCTTGGACTTAAATCAGGTTATGTACTCATTGAGTATAAGACATTTTATCTTTTAAGTAGTTAGCTACTGTAACTGTTGTCCAGTCTGCAAATTAGATATAATTAATTGGCATGTGTTTCTGTCTTATCATTTGTTTAGAATGTGTCATAGAAGTGCAGAGAGGCTCAGATATTGATTGCGGAAATACTCACTTGACAACCCAGGTAGGGTTAGGGTTAGCATTCTCACACTGTTTAGACACTGTTTTAGCTCAGTGCTTGATTTTGTGGCCCAAGTCAAGTTTAGGAAGGGTGGTTCGGTAGTCCTATTGGAACATTTTATTTCCAGCAACTCTGGGGGTCCTGGGTGGCGAGGTGCACTGCGTTTCCCAAAACTGAGTTGGTGGGATCAAAATCTGTCACCAAGCTTTACAGAGTCTCATTTAATATCAAGAGCTTTCATCAACAGTCTTGACTATTTTCCACTCATACCTTTATGTTTGGGGAACATGTCAAAATCCGATGTCCAGAGAGGCTCAGATATACATCGCAGAATACTCATTTGACACCCCTGGATGGCATGAGCAATGTTCGACAATTGTATCACAAAACTGAGTCAGTCAGATCAAAGGTGGGAACAAACATTATCGAATCTATTAAATTTAGGACAGCTTTTCTCAATGGCTTTGATTGTTTCTCACTAGTGCAAATTGGTTTGGGTAACAACATCAAAATCCAAAGACTGGAGGGCTTCATAGACTGATTGTGTAACTCCTCGGTTGATGCCCTAGCTAAGGTTAAGGTTAGCATTCACACTCTACTTAAACAATTATAATTCTCAGAGCCGGATTTTGGGGCCCAAGACAGGTTTACAATGAGTGTTTTTTCTTGGTTGTTTTTGAAAAAATGTTTTCAGACACTTTTGGCTACCTGGATGGCGCAAGCACTGTTCAGTAATTGTATCGCAATATTGAGTCAGTCAGCTCAAATGTGGGACAAAACATTATTAAATCTATTAAATTTGGAACCGCTTTCCACAATGGCTTCGATTGTTTCTCATACATGCAATTTGGTTTGTGGAACGTGTCAAAATCCAAAGATTGGAGGGCTTCATGGACCGATTGCGAAACTGCTCGGTTGAAGCCTTAGCTAGGCTTAGGGTTAGTATTCACAAACTACTTAGACAATTCTAATGCTAAGAGCCAGCTTTTGGGGCCCAAGTCAGTTTTAGGATAAGTGTTTTTCTGGTCCTATCCAATAAATAATTTTTCGGAAACTTTTGGCTTCCTAGACAGCACGAGCACCCTTCGATAATTCCATCGCAAACCTGAGACAGTTGGATCAAATGTGGGAACAAAACATTATCGAATCTATTAAATTTGGAACTGATTTTCTCAATGGCTCCGATTACTTCTACTCCTACAATCTGGTTCGGGGAACATGTCAAAATCTGATGACTGGAGAGCTTCATAGACCAGTTTGCGAAACTGCTAAGTTGAAGCCCTAGCTGGGGTTAGAGTTAGCATTCACATACTATTCGAATCCTCAGAGCCAGGTTTTGGGGCCAAAGACAGCTTTAGAATGAGTGTTGTTCTGGTTCTGGATGGCGCAGGCACCATTCGGTAATTCCATTGCAAACCTGAGATGGTTGAATCAAATGTGGGAACAAAACATTATTGAATCTATTAAATTTAGAACAGTTTTTTTCAATGGCTTCGATTGTTTCTCACTCATACAATTTGGTTTGGGGAAGATGTCCAAATCTGATGACGGGAGGACTTCATAGACAAATTGGGAAATTGCTCAGTTGAAGGCCCAGCTAGGGTTCAAAGTTAAAGGTTTTTTCAAGGTGTATTTATTTATCAATGCACGAACAGTACAGCATATAGTGGTGTTGTCGGCAACGAAATGTTGTCTGCGAGCTTGTTAAGAGGGATAGTAGAGAGTAGAAGGACAGGAATTTATAGGATTAGATTAACAGAAAAAAAATAGGATACAATCAATTGCAATTTACAATACAGTTTACAGATTGTGCAAAAGTAACACAAGGATAGGAGGTATTTAGCGCTCTTCATATGTGTCCTGAGTGCAAGTGACAGGAGGGTTCCAGTGCACCCTGTCAGTTCAAGGAGGTAATTGCTGGCATCTTCTGTAGTTGGCTGTTTAGCGGTCTTACTGCCTGGGGGAAGAAGCTGTTATGAAACCTGGTGGTCCTGGTCTGTTTACTTCGATATCGCTTCCCGGATGGTGGTAGAGAGAACAAGTTGTGGTTAGGGTGACTGGGGTCCCTGAAGATAGGCCTTCTTGAGGCATCTAACAGAGTACATGCATCTAACAGAGCATCTAATCCTCGATGTTCAGTAGCACGTAGCCGGCAGTGTTTTGTGCTAGTTTCACCACCCTCTTGAGCGCCCTGGGAGTCGCATATGTTCAGAGTCAGGGTAGAGGATGTATTTGTGCCTCCTCTCACCCATTGTGGTCGGCTCGTCAGAAAGTCCAGGATCCAATTGCAGAGAGGGGAGCTTAGTCCTAGGTCCTGGAGCTTGGTGATAAGCTTTGAGGGTACGATGGTGTTGAATGCTGAGCTGTAATCAACAAACGGCATTCTCACATACGTTTCTTTGTTGTCTAGATGTGAGAGGGTAGTGTGTAGAGCAGTGGCGATGGCGTCCTCAGTTGATCTTTTTTGTCGGAATGCAAATTGCAGTGGGTCCAAGGTGTCAGGCAGTAAGGAGGTGATGTGAACTTTGATCAGCCGCTTGAAGCATTTCATGATGATGGATATGAGTGCAACAGGGCAGTAGTCATTTAGGCAATTGGGGCATTTAGGGAATTTAAACAAGAGAGGACTGTGCATTGAGTGAGGGAGTGATTAAATATGTCTGTTAACATGTCTGCTAGTTGATCTGCGCAGGCCTTCAGGACACAACCAGGGATAGCATTGGGTCTAGAAGCCTTGCATGGATTAGTCTTTTTAAAGACTTTGTACACTTCAGCTCTGGAGACACAGTGGGTGTTCCCCCTGGTTTACTGGGACAGAATTTCGGTAAACCTGTCCCGAGGTTTGCCTGGTTGAAAGAGCGCATCTCTGATGTTAGCACTCAGGGGGGATGTACACAGTGAAAATAATAACATCAAACTCCCTCAGCAGGTGGTGAGGTCGGCATTTAATTGTTAAAAATTCATTAAAAATCTAATGACTAGAAATGGATGTAGCATTTGTGCACCAACCGTTATTAATGTAGACGCACAAGCCGCCTCCGATGGTCTTCCCGGTTGAAACATTT